CTTTCTAGATTAAGTTGCAGAGGGAAAATGTGCCTAAAGGTACAAGTTTCAGCGTTCACTGAGAGACAAACGCACCTCGGTGCGTAGCCAGAAAGCAGGGCTCTCAGCCTCAGCTGCACGTGAGAATCACCCTGGAGCTTTTGAAAAGTTTGATTCCTGGGCTGAATCCTAAACCAGTTTACATCAGCAGCCCCGGGGCTGCCATCCAGGCATTAGTAGTTTTTAAAGCTCCTTAGGCGATTTCAGTGCGCAGCCAGAGTTGAGAACCTCGTTTTAGAATGAAGTTAGATACAGCATCTCCTTAGGTTTAACTGCACATTAATGTTGGAGCGTAGGCTTGATTTCTTAACTGAGGCTGAGCAGGATATTTTGCCATCAATATCAGATAGGGAAGAATTTACTTAGAATTTACATAAGTTGTGAAAATATGCTAATTTGGCTAAGTATAGTTTAATATTTTGAATCCAGAATTCATTTAAACTCTTTTACTTTCCCTGTGAATATCATGATCTTAAGGGACAAAAGAAACTAGGCTTTAACTTTTGCCTAATTCTTATATCTTCAAACTCTTATTTCTCTCTGTTTTGAGTCCTTTGCACAAGGGTATGTTTACACTTCTTATTCGACAAGGGCTTGAGGTAGTGTAGGTTATGTGAGGGATGACAGGTTGTGTAATTCAACACAAGTGAGGAGAAAACTAGGAGAAGCATGGGTGGGGACAGGGAAGAGCCAGGAATAAAAATTCCTGGCCCGGTGACCTCTGCACACAGTGTGAGACACTCCTTGAGCCAGCAGGGCACCCAGAGCCCACTCTGTGGCGTTTCTGCAGGAAAAGGTGAGTGCCCCCGCCAGGATCAGTCTCTTGAGATTAGTGATCCATGTGGTTCAGAAGGAACCGAGACACTGAGAGACTGACCTTTAACATTTCTGTTATGTGCTAGGCATTTTGCAAGTTTCATAAACCTCATTTCGCTTGTAGCACAGCAATCCTATATAGATAGCATTAGTAAGCTCCTTTGACAGAATAGGAAACTGAGGCTCAAAGGTGCCGCCCAGGTTACCAAGCTGGTCCGTGGCAGATCCAAGCTGCAGATCCTAGACTGCTGCGGCCCTTACATGGCTCCTGCTGAGCCACACCCTTGCTAATGAGACTTCCTGCTCATTTCACAGTGCTCTTTATAGGGAAACAAATTTGTTTTGGCAAGGGCAGGAGAAACAGATGCCATACAGCGGTATTGGAAAACCCCTTGTAAATATTTAAAAAGGTCTTCCCATCCCCATTTTCCCAGGTTCCCCCCCCCCCCCCCCGCAGGGTAGGGCACTCTTTTTTGTGTGTCTCCCACCAAACCCAGTGCATCCCACCGGAGGCGCCTGTGTGGTCCGGCAGCGCAGGTCCCTCGTGGTGGCCTCCTCCAGCTGCACCGCTCCCAGCAGAGGGATGCTGCTGTGGCTGGCACTTCCGGTTTAGCAGATGGAAAGGCCCTTCCTTACTACCCCGTTTCAGGTCAGTTTTCTCGCTTTTGAGAAATTGGACTTGCGATGCGTTTCAGATAGAGCTGCGTGGGCAAACCCAGCTCTGTAAGCCCCGGGGAGATTCAGTGCCCCGGCATCGCGTGGGTTGGCACTTGGTGACACGTCCGAGTCTTATTTCACTGGACTTCCCAGGGAGCCAACTGTGTCACTTTCCTTGACTATAGTTTTGGCAATTGTGTTGCCTGGATTTGAGAGTCGTTTGAGTTCTTCCAACTCTGACCGGGTGTTTTTTTCTCTCCCTTTGAATTTTTTTACTCTTTTCCCGTAGTTGTGACATTCAAACCACTTTAATGCCATAGTCTCCTTTACTTGCAGCTTTGCTTCCTACCCGATTTTGCCTTAAAAAAATTTTTTTTAATTGATTTTAGAGAGGAAGAGAGAGAGAGAGAGAGAGAGAGAGAGAGAGAGAGAGAGAGAGAGAGAGAAATATAAACATCAATGATGAGAGAGAATCATTGATTGGCTGCCTCCTGCACACCCCGCATTGGGCCTCAAGCCCACAACCCAGGCATGTGCCCTGGCCAGGAATCGAACCATAATCTCCTGGCCCACAGGTCGATGTTCAACCACTGACCCCCCGCCTGCCAGGCCCCTTTTTAGGTGAGACTAGCTAGGCCTGCTCTTCTACTCAGGCCTTTCTTTCACATTCCCACCACCCAGGTGCCTCTCTTCCTGCCTCCTGCCTCTTTGCCACTTGGAAATGCTTGTTAGAAACGTGGAACCTCTGGCCGCAACCCACACCTACTGGATCAGAACCTGCATTTTCACAAGGTCTCCAGGTGATCTGTGTGCATATTCAAGTTTGAAAAGCATCTCAATCACACTTCTCCCATGGATTAGACACTAATTAAGAGAATAAAATATTAGCACTCATTCCTTCTACAGGAAGAATTGGATAAAAAGGTTTTTGAAAATCATATCCATTTATTCTTTGGACAATCCTTTTGTAATTTTCAGAGACAGGAGGAAATGAGTGTGCTTGGGAATAAATGGCTTTGCCTATCCTATGAGTGAAGTTAAGGCATTGGGAAAAGCTGGGAAATTTAGCTGATAGATTGTCACTAAGACCCCAAATTTTGAAGGAATGGAATTTGTTATATTTATAGGTTTTCTAAAAGAATTTCTCCCTAGGTTAATTAAAAGAGTTTCTCTCTTTTCCTTTCTTCCTTCTGTCCCCTTCTACCCCCATATAATACCCACACACACACACACACACACACACACACACACACACAGTTTCACAGTATGTTCACTACCTTGTCAGGGAACGTGATACTCTGGGTAGGAAATGATACAAGCTCTCTAAACGCAAAGAACTAAAAAAAAGTGTTTTTTCAGACTCTGGCCCAACTTTGCATTACTGCAGAAGGATTTCTTTTCATATGGGTATTGGTGGGTTATTGTGCATTTTGATTAATGATGTAGGAGTTGGAAGGCTTGAAAGGCATTTACATTGATAATGAAATGGTGAGAATGTAGAGCACACATATTTTCGAGAAACATCATCCCCATTTCTGTGAACAATAGAGGCATCCATTTAAGCTGGACCTTGCCTAACACTACAGGCCTTCCAAGTGGGCCGTGCCCACAGTGAGCAGATGCTAGTGACTTGAAATAGGAATGGCCCGGGCAGCATGCCATTTCTCCTTCAGAAGCATCTTATGGCATCAAAACCTAACACCAGAGACAGATGGAAACTGGAACTCAGGTTTCAGATCTTGCTCAAAGGACAGGAGTTGCTGAATCGAAAGTGTCAGATTTAGAAAACCTGGGATCAGTTAAATGGAAGAGGGAAACAGTGAAGGGAAACTGTTCTTAAATAATTAAAAGAAAATGATGGCGGTGCCCAGCCCCCTCAGCATCTTGCAGGATGGCCGGGCCTGCCCCCAGGTGGGTCCCACGCTCCTGCATCTGGAGTCCCCCAGTCCTTTCAGCCCCCCAGCTGCCCAGGGCTGGCCCAAGGCATAGGCATGCCTCAGATGGCAGCTGTCCAGCTGCCCAGGGCTGTCTGAGGCTCAGGTAACCAGGGCCAGCCAAGGATTGTGCTGCCGGCAGTGGCACCAGCAGAGGTGTGATAGGGGCGTCACCTTCCCCTGATCGCCGGGTTGCCTCTCGCCCCTGAGGGCTCTCGGACGTGAGAGGTGGCAGGCTGAGCTGAGGGACTCCCCCCCACCCCACCCCCTTCAGTGCATGCATTTTCATGCACCGGGCCTCTAATATAAAATAAGATGTGTATATGTGTTGCATGTCATGGTATTTTGGCAGTTATCTGACATATAGGGTTTTAGTAATTTGAAGATTAATTAGTACTGAATATGCAAAGATTGCAGCCCAAATTGGAATGTTATTGTCAGGCAATTTTACATTAGCTCAAAGTTAACTAGACGCTCAGTGTTGTTGAAAATATTAATAGGATGCACAAATACTCTCTTCTTTCATCATAAATACATGGTAGCATAAGTGAGGTTTCTTTGATAACAGGTTTTACTTGTGGCTTGTCGATAGCACCTTAAAAGTGAGTTACACTTGTCTGATACCTTTGATTGAGGGTTATCATTTGGCTGAAGCTTTATACCAGTCATTTGGCAATAACTTAAAATGACAAACCAAAAACCAAAATGAACTTGACTACTGCTGAAAACTATGGTTTATTGAAGTTTCCCATTTGTATGATTTGTAAGATTTCAAAACTTGGCTGTTCTGTGTCTCTCTATAAAACTACAGCAGTGTTGCCTAACCTGCATCGTTAATCTGGATTCAGCTAGGACAGTTTATCTAGCACGGGACTTCTCCGAGCCTTTGACAGTACTAATATTCCTTATGACTCTTTTAGAGTGAGATTTAGTAGCTGACGTTTTTTAGGCCCATTTCACTTTACCAATCCCCCTCTGCTCCTTTATCTCCTTGATGGAACATTTACCAAGGAAAATAGTTTGGGAAATGATAATCTGGCATTTTCTTGTGTATTTTCCCACTTACCACCATAGCAGTCCTGAGAAAATCAGAAACAGTTGTGTGGTTCCCTCTTAGATGAGGGAGGAGCTAAGACACGCACCAGAGTTCAGAGTTCAGCATGTCTCCTATCACTCACCTAGCCTTTCGTCTGTCTGTGGAGGCCTCCATTCAGGTCGGAGGCACGTAGTCATGTACGGCAGGCTCATTTGTTGGCAGAGTGGGGGGTCGTCTGGGCAATATAGTGATCTGAAATTCCTCTGACCTGTGGCTGGTTCAGTGGTCTATGGTCTATACACACCTTTCTGATTCTGGCAAGTTGATAATGAGAGTAAGAGGGTTAGGTCTGATATAGCTTCTTTGAAGTAAAGGTTTAGGCAGCCCCTTACCACAACCCCCTCCCCAGATATGCTTGTAAGTGGGAAAGTCAGCCAGATGCTCAACTGTGGTTCACTTGCATTTTCCCGATTTTCACCCCATGGTACTACTGTGTCATGTTTTACTTTTTTTTATAGAAAGAAATTCAAGCCATGAGTCAGTGCAGCCACCCCAACGTAGTGACCTATTACACCTCTTTTGTGGTAAAAGATGAACTTTGGCTGGTCATGAAATTACTAAGTGGAGGTAAGTGGATTTTGTCATTGTTTGCTTGTTTTCCTTGGCTAAGATTTCAGATTTGATCCCCTTACACCTATATTTAAGTTTTGCATGGGCCCTGGCCAGTGTGGCTCAGTTGTTTGAGCACTGTCCCATGCACCAAGAGGTTGCTGGTTCTCTTCATGATCAGGGCACATGCCCAGGTTGTAGGCTCAGTCCCCAGTGGGAGGCAGCCTGTCAATGTTTTTCTCATTGATGTTTTACTTTCTCTCCCTTTAAATCTATTTTAAAAAAGGTTTGCTTAGAGAATCAAGTCCAATGCAGCTTAACTTCTGATGTCCCCTCTACCACTATTTTCATGGCGTAGGTTAGACTCCCTAAATCCTTCCTGCTCTCTGACGTCTCTGTGCCCTCATGTGCGCTGCCCCTCAGCCCTAGACCTGCCCTTTTCTCTCCATGTGTTCAAGTCCTAAAAGCTCACCTGCTCTCTGCAGCTATCCCGTACTGTCTTCAAAAATGTTAACCAGTTCTTCCTTCCCTAAACCCTTCCTTTTTAACATTATTCAAGTCCTTAACACAGTGCAGTATAATGCATCATTTTAGTACTGTGGAGATGGGAATGTTCTGTACTGTGCTATCCAGTGTCTGCTAGTTACATGTGGCTCTGGAGCACATGACATTGGCTGGTGCTGCTGAGGGACTGAATTTCTGTTTTGTTTTAATTAGCTTATATTTAAATAACACAGATGGCTAGTGGCTACAGTGTTGGACAGTGCAGATTTAGATTGTGGATTTGTGACAAAAGCACAGTTGAATGTACTTTTTTTGTTTGTTTGCTTGTTTTGTTAATTCTCACCCAAGGATATCTTCCTATTTTTTTTTAGAGAGAGTGGAGAGGAGGTGGAGAGACAGGGAGAGAGAAACATTGATGTGAGAGAGACACATCAATTGGTTGTCTCTCACATGTTGCCTGACCGGGGCCAGGGACTGAGCCTGCAACCCATGTACATGCCCTTCCACTGAGCTGAGGATCAGATGCACTTTTAATTCATTGTATCTGAGACCCAGTGGGTCCTCAGTAAATGTTGTGTCAGTTGAAACGGAGAGAGACTTCCCACATGTCAAATTATTTGCGTGTGGTATTGATCTGAAGCGGCACTATTTCATCACATGTTTGCAGTTGGGCAGGGAAAGTCACTTTCCCGCACTCGCCTCAGATCACTGAAGTTATAAAAGCCCTGGACCGTATAATTGATAAGGCACTTTTGCACTTTCATATTTTATTTCTTTTAACCTTTTAGCATCATAATTGATAGGGAACGATAATGATAGCCTTTAAGTTTGTCTAACACTTACTCTGTGGTTAGATCCTATTCAAAGCGAAGTATTTATTTCATGGAGTGTGGACAGCATCCTTGAATGGCAGCTGTCACCATCCCTGTTTTCAGGAAGGTCAGAGAGTTCCATAGCTTGCCCAAGGTCACAGTTACTGTCCGTGCTGGAAGTGTGACTGTGGGACCTGTTGATTTCAAAGCAACGCTGGACGTATTATCACCTTCCCTTTACTGGCCCCAGAACCGAAGCACAGAAAACACGTTATTTCCTTCATAACATCCAGCGTCCCCACTTCTCCAGCGTGTCCTCTCTCCAGGGCCACACACTGTCTGGCATCCTGAGATGTGAAGTGGGGTTAAGGAGCAAAGGAGAACATTTTGTGGTTCCTGGATGAAGCCCAAACCGGCTCAGCACAACATGGGCAGTAGAGCAGCCCACTTTCATCTGCAGACCCTTTGCCAGCTAAGGCTGAGCCGGGGGGGGGGGGGGGGGGGCATTTTAATTTTTTTAAAGAAAGTATCTTGGATCAAGCAGAAGCCCAGAAATGAGATGACGAATGCCTTGTGATGGCCTTGGGGCTGCTGGGGTGGTCTCAGTAGGGAGCCTGGCAGCTCCGAGTTCTGTTCTGTTCTGGTATTGTCAGTCCTGTGCACCATTGTCTCCTTGAGTGCCTACTTGGCTTTTAATTAAAAAGTGAAATGAAAAAGGAAAGACAGAAGCAAAAGGAAGCCTATTGGAGCCGGACACAGCAATCAAGTGTCAGGCCTGCTTCTTGGTTCTCGAGGATGGCACTTTATCGATGAAAGGATCTAGTCTCTTCTCGAGGGGCCCACCCACGGTAACTTGGGATGCTTGATAGCCCCAAATACTCTGTTGAGGCTGAGGATTTTACTTCCTCTATTTATTTTTATCCCAATTAACCTTTTACAAGCCTGAGAATATCTCCGGTTCACTTTCCTCAGGACTTGCTAGAAAATTTCATTGTCTTTTGAAAGAAAACAGTTTAGTCTCCTGGGCTTCAGTGGGTAAGAGGAACAGGTTTTGCATTTCTACAGGGAAAGCGAGTGTGGGCAGATGTGGATGCTAGCTCAGCTCGCTTTCAGCAGCCAGGCCAGCACTGCATATATGCTTGGCATGGTGTGTCCTTATAAGGTAAAAATCAAATGGTTTTGGAAGTATAATATTCTGAATGAGCCAAAAACCCAAGAGTCAATGAATAAACAGATGTTACATTTCTCTCTGAGGTAGGACATGTGCATTTGTTTCCGTCTATAATATTTTATCACATTCCATCTCTTAATGAGGGGTGGGTGGTTAATCTGGCGTAGTAACATCCGATGAGGAAACTCAACCCTCTGAGTTAATCATTGAGAGCCTGGAGCCAAAGTCAGGTCCTGAGGTAAGCCATTTGTTAACTCGTCAGAAATGTTGACTCCCCTGGGGAATATTGGTTTTTAAAATGACCCAGAGGTTCGGAATATTAATTGCTCTGTGCTGAAACATGAATTCACAGTGCCAAGGATACTAACCTGTTTGTTATAACAGAGTACTGTGTATTCATTTTTTTAATCATAAAAAGTCAGTACGTCAATTACCACGTCAGTAAAAATAAAGATTGCCTGGAGTCACAGAAAGGAATCTTCCGGTTCTCAGCAGGCCTGGAGGTAACACACCTTTTTTCTCTCCTCCCACCTGTACCGGTTGCTCTGGGGCTCACTGCAGTCTCTCTCCTGGCTTCCTGGTCCTTCCCGCGCCCCCCCCCCCCCCCTCCCCAGTTCTCATGTCTTGAACCCTCTTTTGAGTCTGTAGCCAATTGCATGCCTCGGGGAAAAGGGGTTCCCTGGGCAGTGGCCCTGAATAGTCTTCTGGTTCCGACCCAGAATCCTTCTCATTTACTTCAACAGAAAGTGAGCCCGCAAACGTGTATGTAGTGTGTCTGGCCATGGGTTGCCATGTGTTTGTGTGCCTTGGGGATATTTGTAAACAAAAAACACATTGTTATGTCCTCGTTTACTTTTCTAAACAGGGAACCCCATTCTGAAAAGGTAATGACGATGCTCACCCAGTTTTTCCATTCTTTTGCCTGTCCACTTAGGTTCAATGTTGGATATCATCAAATACATCGTCAACCGAGGAGAACACAAGAACGGAGTTCTGGAAGAGGCAATAATAGCAACAATTCTTAAAGAGGTTTTGGAAGGCTTAGACTATCTTCACAGAAACGGCCAGATTCACAGGTATGGCCTCTGCAGACATGTTCAAACTCAGCTGTCTCTTTAGTCCTAGTTAATAAAGAATATTAAGGAAAGACATATTGCAGGTGGGTAGGGATTGGCACTATTTCTAACTTAGGCTACATAGATGAGGTGGGGGGGATACTTAAGAAAGAAAATAGAATATAGAGAGTACTGAGTGGACTCATGAAAAAACATCAGTTCACATGCTGCTCTTGAAGCATGCTCATTTGAATTGGATATCATTTCTAACTTTTTAATGCAGGCTAGACTGTTTCAGACATTGTAATGTGTTCATTATTTTTGACACGATGGTGAGAGGGAAGGAGGAGGCACTGATTTCATCTTCCTTGTGTTATAAAATGCCAATTTAGAAGCCAAACAGCATAGACTATGAGTGCCTGGTATTTTGGATGGGTTAGTGTTATCTAGTTACAGCTATCCCTAAGATATCCCCAGTGTTATCTTAGGGATAGCTGTAACTAGATAACCATTTACCAGTAATACTAATAATTTAATTTCCCTACCCCAAACTATAAGTGAGCAATTTACTTTTTTTCCATAATTAGAAAAATAATACTTTAGAAACTAAACTTAGATTGTCATTTTTAAATTATTATTTTTAAAATATATTTTATTGATTTTTTTACAGAGAGGGATAGAGAGTTAGAAACATCGACCAGCTGCCTCTTGCACACCCCCCATCGGAGATGTGCCTGCAACCAATGTACATGCCCTTGACCAGAATCGAACCTGGGACCTTTCAGTCCGCAGACCGACGCTCCAGCCACTGAGCCAAACTGGTTTCGGCTGTCATTTTTAAATTATTAAGACCACTCAGCACACTTCTATATAATGAAGAAATATATTGTAGAATATTATAAGTCGTGTTCATAATCAGTGTCTCTTCAGAGGAGAGACTGATCAAATCAATTTTTTAAGAAGCTGATATGATGAATTTGGAATTACACCACAAACAATAGAACAGCTTTACATTCCTGATAAAACAATAGTATTGTGAATATATGGGCAATCTTAACTCTAACATAAAAGGAAGCATCTACTCACTATTGATTTAATTAAATCTGGATATTGATTTCACAGAAAATATTTGTTACTAACATCCTAACCACTCCCTAGGAACAAACTATAAAATCACATGTATTTTATAATTTTTGAAATCTATGTTATAATTTTAGTATTTATAAAATAATGCCAAAGTACCTGTATTCTATGATATGTTTTAAAATCTCCCTGAGTGAATTAATGCAATATAATATCAGCACTGCACAATTCATTCTTCTTCTTTTTTTTCCTAATAGGGATTTGAAAGCTGGTAATATTCTTCTGGGTGAGGATGGTTCAGTACAAATAGCAGGTAAAGCTGATAAAGATAAAATCTTGTTTACAGAAGTGTTATATTTTCACGGGATATAGAATCATGCCTAAGAAGTTAATAAATGCACATAACCTGTTTTAAGAATGTATTTGGGCTTCTGTATTATAGAATGTTTGGTTCTTATGCGTAACATGTTTTCCTATTGTTTTGATAAATCTTTGTTACATCATCCGAGAAATATTATTTTTGAAGTAATAGCCCTTTGATAAAGAAAAGTTTTATTTTTAATTATATTTTCTACCTTTTAGATTGAATACTGGTGATATTTATATAACTGCAAGAAAAGCACTTTGAGAGTTTTTTAATGAGTTTGAAACTTTAAAGCATTGTGCCTGTTAATCTAAAATCTTTTATTTCGAAAGAGGTGGTAGAAAGAATTGTGAGTTCTTAAAATCTAGGGCTTATTTGGCTTTTAAATCTGACCTGGCTATTCTCCACCGTCATCTGGCACGCTGACAAGTAAGTGTCTACCGAGTGAATGAATCAGACAGCCCTTTTAAGTACAGAACCTCTCATTTTGTTAATGCTCCTCGAGGAATCTGAGTGGCCTGGGGTAATACGTAGCCTGATGCAGGTTGACTCTTGTTTTACCCTTGGCCATGAAGGCCTGTCTCAGCAGTCCTCTCGGCTGTCAATGCTTTTGGCATTTTTAGTTGGCCAGTCCTTCCCTGTAATGGACTGTGCCTGTCACTGAAGGGGGTTCAGCCTCCTGGCTCCAGGCAGGAGATATTACTAGCATCCTCCTTGGTGAGAATCGCTGACCGAACATCTGTCGTTGGAGAATGTTGGAGTTCGCCCCAAATGTTGAATGGGCCTAATCTGCTTCTTTTTTGAGTTGGAGAGAAAGAGCCATGGTGTGTGTGTGTGTGTGTGTGTGTGTGTGTGTGTGTGTGTGTGTGTGTTTAACATGAATTTAGTTATTAGGGTAGAGTTGATCACGGTCCTTGATCCCAGATTTTTTTTTTTTCCTAAACAAATCGGAGGGTTTGGGGTTATTATTCGAAATGCAAGAGCTTTCAGCAGAAAACAAACACACGCCCAACACAAGGACAGGCCTTGAGTCCTCTCTCTGATTTATTGTTTACCCCTCACTGCTTAAGTGTATGACTTTCATAACATGCTGAATTTTAAGCCATGTAAATTCTGACTTAGTAAAACAAATGAAAGGAAATGAGTCAGTAAACTTAATGAACTCTTTATCGTAAAAGCCATGTTCAAACCTCTTATTATGCACAATTTCAAGCATAGCCCGAAGAAGAGAGAACGTTGGAAGACCCCTCTTGTACCCATCACCTGGCTTTTATCAGTCTTTGGCCATTCTTGATTCACCTGTCTTCTCCCTCCCTGCTTTGGTGCTTCTTATTAATATTGAATTTTGTTCTTGAGACATTCAAATTAGTGCCATATATACTGATTTTATATATATGTAAATATATAATTATTAATATATATTAATATATATTCGTTTTTGTTTTCATTGTAAAGAATGAAGAATGGTCCTTGTTCCACAGGCTAAGGACAGTTTGAAAAAACCCCAAAAAACTTCACCTAAATAAGAGATAACTGAAAACATTTGTGGACAAAAGCTTCAAACTGTTCAGCACCAGAGTAGTCTAGTTTAGTACAAGCTTGGGGATCATCAGCCTGGGCTGAAATTCCCAGGTCACCACTCAAGCTCTCTGACCTCGGTCAGGTCACCTAACCTCTTTAAGACTCAGTTTCCATAGAGGGAAATACAGATGTAACCCGCTTCATCATTTTTGTGTGAAGTCACATGAGGCTCTTTATGTCCAGTGACCTTAACAGTGGCCAGCGTACATATGACAGGCACTTGGTAAATGCCAACAGCTGGTACTTCGATACTATTACTATTGCTACTTTTGCTATTGTTGCTGCCGTTATTACAATCAACAGGATCACACTGACTGTCCCCCGTACTGCCCGGAGGTCATAGGTACCTCAGGTTTGTCCTGTAAGGGGTTCAACACCGAGGAGCTCTATGAGTTTCACTAATTAGGGAACTTAGAAGTTCACTTCTCATTCATCTTGCTCTACGCTGCTTTGGAAGTGCAACTAATTGTTTCTGTTTTGTGATAAAGTGATCATTTTTCTTAAGAGGATCAAAATAGCAGTGAACTGCCTTAGGAACATGGAGATGGGTCAACCCCTGCCATGTTCTGCCACTTGGTACCCAGCCAGTGACCTCATCCCGCTGTTCTTGTCAGATTAAGGACCCGAGCGCCATCCCGGGCGTTCTGGAGCACAGTGTCTTTTTCTCTTAAGATTTCCTGACTTCCACTCCCTCTCAGGCCTCTGGTTCTTTTCCCCACTGCAAGTGGTGGTGGGGAGTGTAACCCAGGACATGCACTCGGTGGGGCTGCGGGACTCTGCAGGGCCTGTGCAGGGAGCCAGCGCCTGGGTGCTGTGAGGGTTAATGACTCCATGCAAAGTGCTCAGAACGGTGCCTGGCACGTGCGGAGGACTGTGTGTACAGCCACATGGGGCCTGCCTCGGTGCCCGTTTGTGTCTGTGACCTCACGCCTGTGTAGAACACGAACTAAAATTTCATCTCTAGATGCACAATGGTGGGTGAACCAGCATTCAATTGCACTCTTTACAGTTCTAGAGCTAGAACTTGCTAGAATTCACATTTCATTTTCTCCATAGTCTCTAACCTGAGTATTTAGAATTAATTTTTTTTTTTAAACTATGAAATAAAACTATCACTTAACACACATTTGGAATGTTTCTTCCTTGGAACAGGTAGATGCTGGTGGTATCCCCACTTTATAGAAATTTGACCAGTTGGTCAGGGAACAAAAGCTGACCCCAGCGTCTGTGGGTCTTCTGCTGGCATCTGTGTCCACGGGGTGACGTGGGGGCTTCGAGAGTGGAGACTCACAGCGACGGGAGAGGTGTCGCCACCTGTTATGTTTGAACAGATGGACCATTACTTCCACTCAGACTGTGTGTGCCCCTTCCCTCTGCGTCTGTATGCTCTTTAGGCCTCGTATTTTTAAATAAAAGTTAAATAGGGGAGAAGTTTGCATTCATTACTTTGCATGTAATGTGTGTTTATTTTACCTTGAGAGTATTATTATGAACATGCCTTTTAAAAAGAGTATTGTTTTTTATCCTCACCCGAGGATATGTTTATTGATTTTAGAGAGAGAAAGTGGGAGGAAGGGGGGGGGGGGAGAGAGAGAGAGAGAAAGACAGACCGACCGACCAACTGATCGGTTGCCTCCTGTACTTATGCAGACAGGCGATTGAATCTGCAACCTAGGTTTATGTCCTGACCAGGAATTGAACCTGAAATCTCTTGGTGTACGAGATGACGCTCCAACTAACCGAACCACCTGGCCAGTGCTAAAAAGGGTATTTTTTGCTATTCTAATAGAAAGCAGAATTTTTATTTTAAAAAAATCACTTCCTCTATTGTATATACACACATTTCCTTTCTCAGAACTTTTGGTGAGAAAAGGGAAAATAAAGGGCCTGGTTGAAACCACAAAAAACACCCACCTCATTATGCAGCCAACAAGGGAGAACAGGCTAATATACTTGGCTCTGTTTCCGGCGGCACAAATTCGTGGGGATAACGTATGTTTTCATTGACCGTGGGTATAAAATCAGGAGCTGATGTGGGTTGAGTGCTTCCTGTGTGCCAGGCCAGGTGCCCTGCTGACGCTTTGTGACTCATTCGTCCTCGCCACAGTCCTGTGTGGGAGTGTTACTTTTACACCCATTTTACAGACTGAAACCGGAGGCCCAGGGGGAAGGTAGTTGCCCAAGTAGTAGCACAGGTGGTGGAGTCAGGCTCCAAATTTGGGCAGTCTGGCTCTGGAGCCCCTGACCCACAGCTGTGGGACTTCCAGGCAGAGAATCCCAAATGTGGGCGGAAACAACCTCAGTTTTGGGCGGAAGACTGGTGGCAGTCACTAACTCCTGCACGTCTCTGCATACATTGATTTTGTTTTGGTCTGGGAAACACATTCAGCACCTTTCCCCCCTGTCCACGCTGAGACCCAGCATCATTTGTAAAGCTTTAGGAGGAGCAGTCCCCTGCAGGCAGCTTTTGGAGAAGAAGGAAGCACCGCAGTGACAGCACACAACTCTTCGCACTGGGAAGCGTCGTGTCTCCTCAGGTTTTGAGAGAAAATGCTTTCCATCTTCGATTTCTTCTGTGCTTGGGCAGCCTGTCTGTCATGTGACTTCCTGAGAATGAGCTTGGATCGGGTGCCTTGGTGAGAGTTGTCGTCTCTGCTGCACTATGTGCTGGAAGGAGTGGCTCTTTGAAAGTCATGCTCTTCCCACGGCCCCGCATTTTACTTTCCAGTTTGATGCTCTGTCATATTGTCAGGAAGAGCTCAGTGCTTTGTCTGGCCAGTGACTCAGCCCGTTTGTCCGGAATGAATGAGATGCTGTTCTAGGCCAACAGCCACATAAGCAGGTACCTTTGGGGTGGTCCCTGCAGATATACGTACCTTAGGAGTCTTTGAAATGGTGATCACTTTTCAAGGACTATAGTAGTAAAGATGTTGATTTCACAACATTTCTAAAGAACTTTCTGGAAGGATATACTAACTACTGCATTATATGAGGTGGAGCTCATGCTCATTTCCACTTAACTTTTGCCTTTTAGGGTGTGTGAGTCTGAATTTTCCATCTTAGTTTTCCTAACGGAAACCAAATCTGGTACTGAGCTAAGGCAGCCAGAACTGTAGAAATTTATCACCACCCCTCTGTAATGTACCCGAGGCCACGAGATAAAGCTGAAGCACCAGCTTTTCACTGACGAGGCACATGGGTATGACTCAGGGCAGCATCTCGGTTTTCTGGGAGGGAGATTATATCCTTAGCCAGTCTTTGAATACATTTTCAGCTTTAGTCTGCATCTAACACTATGACTAAAACTGCTACCGGGAAAACATGGAATTAGACTTAACTTGCTTCCAATACTCAGGTATTTTTTCTCA